ACGTGTGCTTATTAAATGAGATAGCACATGTTTGGTGCCCAACCTGGCACATAGTAGGCACTTGGCACAGGTGAATTTCTTTGCCACCTTCCTGTGTCAGGCAGGGAGGGGGCCGTGGGCCTAGGATGGTGACAGTGGGACGGATAGGAAACATCCTTGGGACCACAGCCACGATTGGTGAAAGAAGGTGAAAGCAGGTGAGCTGGGAGCCTGCTTGCTGACAAGCCAGCCCACTCCTGTCCAGTGCGGTGGCAGCCAGGGAACACAGGGAGGCCTTCTGCCCCCTCGGAGCCAGGCCAGGCGCTGACAGAGGGAATTGGTTTAAGGGCCCGTCTCCCTGGCTCTTTCTTGGCTGAAGGCTGCTACCAGTTCAGCTGGCCAAGATGAAAGAGTAAAAGGAATGTCATGAGGTTTTCAAAACCTGCGCCTTCGGCACCAAATTTATTTTTTTAAGGGTCTAAAAGATTTTTTAAGCCCCAGTGGCAGTCGAGGACAGGTTTTGGCTTGGTGTGAAAAATTGGAAGGTGGATAAACGAACAAACAAAAATCAACCCAATAAAACCGAACCGTTTTAGGACCACCTACGTAGCTGCAGGGGTTATTTTTTTTTCTTTTTTAGAATGAAGTTGCCATGGCTTGAGAATCCAGGCTTCAATAGCTCCATGTCACCCGGTCCCGGGTTCCCAGGTCCCTCTGGGAAGGGCTGATGAGGGAAAGCCTTCAAGTCAAACTAGTCCACGATCCTTCCACCTTCTGCTTGTATTCTTCCAGAGATGGGAAGCTCACGCCCTCTTCACAGCGACCATTTCATCTTTGGATAGTTCTGCCAGTTAGAATGTCCTATATTGTATTTAGTAGAAATCTGTCTTCCTGTGACATGTTCCCATTGGCATTAGTTTTACACTGAAAAACAATGAGAGTAATCCTCTGTGGCAGCTGTGTGTGCATACCAGGTGCTGAGCATGTCTCAAGTTTGACCTCAATTAGTCCGCATCACCACCCTGAGGAATAGACTCTATTATTATCGCCCTTTTATGGAGGGGGCCCCTCGTGCTCAGGGAGGTTTAGTAACTTGCCCGGCGTCAACAGCTGGTAAAGAGCTATGCTGAGATTCAAACTCAGGCATATCTGAGTCCCGGCCCTTCCTCCTACATCATGCCGACTCCTATGACAGCAAATCTTTAGGTATTTAAAGACAGCTCTCATGGCCCCCGGTCTTCCCTTCTCCACTCTCAACCTTCCTACTCTTTCAGCACTGGCTTGTGATAGATCTGAGAATGGAAATATGATGAAAGGGACTTAAAAACAGGCCCGCTGGGTGACACCAGGAAAGATTGTCCCCCCCTGATGAAAGAAAGAACACTGTGGAACAAGTATCTTCCTCTCCATTCTTCTTCCTGTCTCAAACAGTATGTGGGGACAGCTTGTGGCCGGGCGCCGTTGTGACCCTAGAGGATGAGGGTGAGGTCTGTAGACATGTCGACCAGGCGTCCTGACATCATTGAACTGATGCCCCTGAATCATCTCCCTCCTGGCTTCTTCCCTGAGATAGCTGGATGTCTTCAGAGTGATGATTCTCCCACTGAAACAAGCACCAGAACCTCCCAGAGACTTGTTCCCACCCAGGGTGCTGGGCGACCCCCAGAGGTTCTGAGTCAGTGGGTCTGGGCTGGGGCCTGAGCATCTGCATTGCTAATAAGTTCTGGGGCCATGAGATGGGGGCTTCTGTTATCTGCAGCCAATACGCATTCCAACTAGTGCAAATAGTTGGCATTACCTGAGCACTCCCTCAGAAAACTTTTTTTTAATCTACAGCTCACCTGACTTGATCTTAACACTGATGAGGTAGCTGTGATAAATTTCCATTTGATAGATGAGCAGTCTGAGGCCCAAACAGGCAAAGTGGCGTGTCCGAGGTCCTGCAGCTGGTAAGAGAGCTCCCATGTCCCTGCTCCCTGTCCCTGGGTTACCTTGAGTTGGAGCAACCTCCATCAGTGCGTCCCTGAGCAGCGTGCCTTCCCTACAGCATTCAACATGAAGTTACACAAGTCTTGCAGATCTTTGCGTCATCTCAGATGAATTCTGCAAAAAGGAAGCGCCGGCCCGTCTCCTCCTCACTGCCTCCTCCCCCAGCGGCCACAGCTTTTACATGCTGGAGGCTTGGGGACAGGGAGCTGGGGCACAGGGTAGTGGCATCCTGGGCTATCAAAACATGGGAAGGAAGGCTGAGAAAGCTGCAGCTTCGCTGCATATTCGAGGGAGGAGAGCAGGGGAAGGGAGGCTCCTCAAAAACCTGGGGGAACCGCCCATGGTGTAGCCTTTCTACACACTTGACAATGCTTTTGTCAGAAACCAGTGTTTCCCAAACGTCGGCCATTCCTATCCAATCTCTGTGATTCTGGCAATCCATCCGCACAATTGCTTACTTAATATTTTAAAATCACCACCTAAAAAGCCTGAGCCATATTTATTAAAGAGGAAAGCTATCCACCATCAATGGAAAAGAGCGGCACTTGTCATACATGGAGGGGCTGTGAAAGCAGAGACAGCAGAAACACCGATGGTGAGATGAAAAAGGCCAGCCGGCTTGCCCCTGAAATCGCTCGGTCACGGCCGCGAACAGATGGGCCACGTGGACGAAGGGAAGGACAAAGACAAACCTCTGGAGTTACTGCTGAACCCCAAAGAAACCAGCACTGCTGTACATAGAGGCAGCCTGCTCGTGGCAGGACGGGGGCTATGGTGCATTGGAGCACATGGGGACACATGACTGCACGCAGAGGAAAGGGGGGCGACGCCTTTTCAGCAAGAAGATGACTGTTATGGACTGAATGGTGTCCCCCTTCTCTAAATTCTTATGTTGAAGCCCTAACCCTCATTGTGACTGCATTTGCAGACGGGGTCTTGAAGGAGGTAATGAAAGTTCAGTGGAATTTTAGGGTGGGGCCCTGATCCAGTGGGACTGGTGTCCTTATAAGTAGAGACACTAGGGACGCACACACCGAGGAAAGCACACACACGCAGCAAGAAGGTGGCCATCTACAAGCCAAGGAGAGAGGCCTCAGGAAAAACCAGCCCTGCTGGCACTTTGATCTTGGCCTCCTAACCTCCAAAACTGGGAGAAATAAAATTCTGCTGTTTAAGACCCTGAATCTGTGGTATTTTGGTATGGCAGCCCCAAACAAAGACAGTGACAGAATGAAGTTGAGCCTGTCACCACTCAGAGTATGATGGGAGGACCAGCAGTGTCAGCATCACGGGGAGCTCCTGAGAAATGCAGACGCTCAGGCCCCATCCCAGGCCTGTGGGACCTGCATTTTGACAAATGCTCCCCTCCCCGCCACCCCCCGCCCCACCACAATTTGCAACTTCAAGCGACATCTCTTCCCATTTATCAGGTGGAGGTCTCCTCAAGGCTCTGGAAATACCGCAGTAATTAGCATCTCTGGCCTGTGTGCACCATCCCTGCCTGGTAGAAGTGGTATAAACAAAAAAGCTAATAGCCTGCAAGGAGCTTTTAAATGGTTTATTTCACAGACTGCTCAGATTTGTCCATAAAAGATAAGGCACAGAAAAGTTTTTAGAAATCAAACCGGTTTTATTGAAACAACAGCAACGTGGTCCCTGTTTATAGGCAAAGCACACATGTTTTTTTTTTTTTTACACAATAAACGTTTGTACATAGGAAGTAGTAAAATACATCATTTTTCATAGAAAAAAAGCACACACATAAACTGCGGGCTGGGTGAGCCTACAGACAATATGAAATCTCAGAACAGGATGGGACAAAAATCTGAAGGGCACCGAAACTTTTCATTTTGGGGGCAGGAGGTCCAGAAACACTGCTTGGCCTGATTTACCATCTTTTTATGGGTTAAGTGCTGATGGTGCAATAGACACTGTTCAACACAAAATTAGAGGAGGTCCCTGATTACAAGGGCTTATAATGTGTAATCTCAGTTTCCATCTTCAGAAGAAAAATAGTTCCAGTTTCAAAACGTTCGTGAGGATGAAAAGACACAGGACCTGGCTCTGGGTGAGGACGTTCTATGCTGTGAGATGGGTCTGCTTAACGAGGCATTCAGGAACCCGGGAATTTAATCTAAAATGATGGAATCGATTCACTCTGAAAGTTTCAGATTCTGCCTCGGGCAGGAGGCTTCCCAAGCAAACCCACCAAAATTCCCCTAATTCTAAAAACCCAACCTGACAGGCCCAACGTAGCCACAGCCACAGCCACAAAGGGCTGATGACAAGCAGACGTCCAGTAGCACAACACATAGTATCCAGAAATTTCCAAGTACTCAGATCTTTGGTGGTAACCAGACCCCAGTATCTGACAGGCTGACCAATTTCTTTCACTCTGATATTTGAGGTGAATAGTCAGAACCTATGAATTACCACAAGCCCACAGCACACACAACAAAAACAGTTCCCACTAATTTCAGGTCTGAGGAGCTAAGAGCTTCATCGCTTCTACAAACTCCCTGAAGGGGAGAAGCTGTCTACCCATCAGTTTTTGCATTTATTAGGCATGCACTCCCCAACACGCCACTTTTTCTTTTTCTGCGGACGCCTCTGCCTTTGAAATATGTTGATGGAGAGTGAAATCAAATTTGAAACCAGCGTTCACCAAAGTGATCTATTGGCCAGCCTGGTGCTGCACAGTGGAATTTTACCTTCGGTTAAAAGAAACGCTATTTACAAAGGGGTATTTTATTTCACTGTGGGTTTTTGGTCTGGGCTGATGAAGAACTTTTATAAAGTGATGGAAGCCAGAGAGCACCACACTCCTCGGAGCCTCAGGAACATTTGGCAAGAGCTGTTCCACAAAAAACAGGAAGAGAAATCCTTCTAGAGTGTTACCCTCTCTTGTTATTACACCGCAGGATGGTTTCATAACCACAGGCTATTCCTCTCCCCCAAAGCTGCTAACCTCGGCGAGGAAGGTACGAAGGAATTCATTCCTCCCACTCCTAAAAAAAATAGGTCATCGGATGGAAGCGGAGTCTGCACGTTTAATTGTCATTTTTCAAAAGCAGCAACCCAACAGCCCTTTTTTGGCTGTTCTTCGACATCTCAGTAGACCCCTTTGAGGCTAGGAGTGTAAAATTTAAAAAATGGGGCTTCAAAGAGAATTGCTTGCAAAGGAGAGACCCCGGTGTGACACACAGACTACTCTGGGCTGAGCCACAATGGGGAGGGGGTAAGGAAAGGATCCCGGTTCATTAGTCCTCAACGAGACCAAAGGTCACGGCAGCAAACAGATGGGCCACGTGGACGAAGGGAAGGACAAAGACAAGATAAATCTCTGGAGTTACTGCTGAACTCTAAATAAACCAGCACCGCTGTACATAGAACCAGCCTGCTCGTGGCAGGACGTTAGCAAGGATGGGGGCCAGGACGGAGCCTGAGTCTCCCCGGCCCCGTGGTTCCGGCCCCTTTGTCTGACCAGCAAACATTAAACCTATTTTTCTCCACTGGTAGGGACGGACAATGGTTTTTAATTATTTTAAATAGCTACCCTCTATCCCATTCCTGAAACGACCCCCCGGCGAGCGCTCCGTGTGCCTCTTCCCACACCCCCTAGATACCTCGCCCTGTGAGCTCCAAAGCTGGTGCCCTCTCTGGGGGTTTGGAATCCTGTCTCCCAATCACAAAAGTACACGTGGGAAGGACTATCTCGATCCGTGCAGAGAGGGCACCCACATGGAGCAGCCCCCCGGCCTCAGCGGGACCGGTCACCAGTGGTCCGGCAGGGCCCCCAAGGATGCTGCTTCTCCCCGGTGCAGAAATGAGACAAAGGCATAAAGGATGTGACACTGAACACCACTCACAGGACGTTTCCTGCCTCTCCATATCCCCAGCCCACCCCCCAAAGGATAAAATAAAAATAAAAAGCAAAACCCCGAAGCCTTCTAGGAGAGCCCTCTTCTGCCCGGCGCTGGACGTTCACTGCCTGACAGCAAAGATCCGGAAAGCCTTTCCGTCTTGTGGGGTCCTCAAGCTGAAAAAGGAGGGAGAGGGCATGTTACCTATAGAAGGAGGACTTCCTACAGGGACTCGAGCTGGGAAGGGAGAGGTGGGCGCCCCGTGTGTCCCCGTGGTGGAAGGACCATGACCGAGGGTTACTTCCCAACAGCTGCTGGAAACAGAGTCCGCCCCAGCCAGGAACAGCTGGCAAATTCCATTCTCTTTGCAAATGGACCTGGGTCTGAATCTAGGTCAGGGTTGTTAAGTTATTTTCTTTGAGCTCTGGGACTTCTTGGCCCCAGTCTGTCTGCATTGAACTCACCCTCCCAGACTTCTGCCTGGTTTTTGCTACCACCTGTCAACCAAAATAGTAGCCATCTGGTTGACCGATTAACAGGACGGCATTACAACAATAATGCATGTGCTGCTGTTATTGCAACGGCACACTGGCTGTGCTCAGATTTTGTGCTGAGCACTGTGCCAAGTACTTTGTATCCTCCCTTTTGCCTTCTTCCCCAGGTAGGTGTTGTCAGTGTCCTATTTTTGAGAGTGAAGAAACAGAGGCAAGAAAAAATTAAGTGACTTACCCAAGGTCACAGAGCTAGTAAAAACTACCCTCTCAAGATAGGAGTTAAATCCTTCAGCTAACCGAAGGCTTTTTTTTTTTTAACAGCTTTACTGAAGTAGAACATGCCATGAAATTCACCCTTTTAAAAATGTACTATTGAATGACTTTTAGTGAATTTATAGAGTTGTGCAATCATCTCCACAATCCAGTTTTAGATCATTATAATCACCCCAAAAAGTTCTTTTGTGACCATTTATAATCAATTTTCCCTCCCCCCAGGCCCTGGCTTTGTCAATTCTGGACATTTTGTATATGGAATCATACAATGTATGTGGCCTTTTGTGACTGGCTTCTTTCACTGAGCATAATGTTTTTAAGGTTCATCCATGCTGTGGCATGAATCAGTATTTCATTTCTTTTTATTGCAAAATAATATTCCATGATATGATTTTATATACCACATTTTATTTATCCATTCCTCAGTTGATGGACATTTATAGTCTTTCCACCTTTGGCTATTATAAATAAAGCTGCTATGAACATCTGTGTATAAGCGTTGGTGTAGACATACGTTTTCAATTTTTTTGGGGGGTGGGTACCTAGGAGCAGAATTGCTGGGTTGTGTTAATTGCAGGTTCAACTTTAAAAAAAAAAACTGTTTCCTACAGTGGCTGCGCTATTTTACATTTCCATCAGCAGTGCTTGAGGGAGGGGTTCCAGCGTTTCCACGCCATTGCCAACATCTGTTATTGTCTGTCTTACAGCCATTGGTAGTGGCTTTCTGTACACAGAGAGAGCTTTCTCATGCTTTTTATTCACCTGCATAGTATTCCATTGTATTAAACTATTATAATATAGGCAACTGGGTCCTTTTTAATGAATACTTAGTTGTTTCTAATCTTTTGCTTTTGCAGACAATGCTACAGAGAATAGCCTTGTCTAGGACTGTTTGCATATGTATGAGAGTACCTGCAGACGAGCTCCTGGGGTGGGGGTGGGGGGGCAGCTGCTGCAACAAAGGATGTGTGCATTTGTAATTTAGTCACCAAGCTGCCCTCCATAAAGGTTGTGCCAATTGACAGCTCCCATCGACCACGCATGGGGCACCCGTGTTTAACCTGCACGCTTTCCAGCACAGCACGTCATCCGCTTTTTCTTCTCAGCCAATCTGAACTAGGGAATGGCATCCAGATGTAGTGTTAATTTGCATCTCCCTCATTAGGAATAAGTGTGAGCGTCAGATGAACAGCCCAGCCATGATTTAAGCCTGATCTCCTTAGAGTGCACCCCCCTCTCAGGGGAGAGGGACCCAGATTGGAAACTGCCGGGCTAGACAGGTGGCCCTTGCCCTCTCAGACTACTTGGTAAGACCAGCCATCCTCACGGAACAGGCTGCTGGGAATTCCTGTTTCCTCTCTTTCCCCAAGGCAGCTTCATGCTTTTGGTTACCCTGGAATAGAACTTTTGAAACGTGGATCACATAGGAGTCCTGGGTGAGTTGGAGCTGTGAGGAAAAGCCAAGAGCTTTGACAGAGCAGAAAGCTTGGCCGAGGTGGCTTCCGTGACAGCCATCCCCACCAGACCATGTGGAGGTCGAGTGCCCATGCAGGGGCTGGCGTTACCCCAGCTGCCCTGCTGGTTTCTGGGAAGCTCAGATTCCAGGGCCCTTCTCAGACCTTTGGGTTGCAAGATTTCCTTGGATTCTCTGCCCAAATGAATAGTCTGGGAGAACCACCCAGAGCCACAAGGCACTTGGCTCTTCCACACGGTGGGCAAGCCATGCTGGGGAAAACCACCCGGGTCTGTGTCTTCTGACTTATTACTGGAAATTGGGGCAGTGGGTTCTCCCATTCCCAAGGCCCCAAACAACCCAGGTACAAGGGGGCCATTCAGGCCATCGTCCATATACCCCAAGGTACCTGGACGTTTTCCCTGGATTTACCAAGCATCCCCTTTGGACAACTCGTCTACCTTGGAGGTAAGAGCAGACCCACTGCGCTGGGTGTGTATTTCTTAACACATCAGGCAGTGTGCTGATGACACCGAGGGTGTCAATGTGATAACACCTGATGTTGGGCCCATGCATTGCCTCAGAAAAAGAACTCCCCAGGTCTGAGTTGCTCAAAAACCTTCGGTGGGCCCCCATTTGTTCATGCCTCACTCACTAAGCACCATTCCTGCTAGGTAAGCTAACAGTCGTGCATGTTTGGTGAAAAAACAGTATGATTTGATAAATTATAAAATAATCAAATTTTCAAAACCTTGCCTTCTGGTTCTGTTTTTGGGTTGGCTTGTAACTCCCATACATAAACAAAGGGGGTGTAAATTGGCACAGCATTTCTGAGCAATTTTCATAAAAGGTGTTGAACATTTTAATAAACGTATGAAATAATTTTCATGAAGGGTATTAAAAATCCCTCAACCAGTTCTGAACAAATTGCTGAACTCAGCAATCTGTTTGTCATTCAGCCCCTGTTTACTGAGTGCCTACTATGTGCCAGGCACTGGATTGGGTGTTAGGGACATGGGGTTAACAAAACTGATGGGGTTCTTGCCTTCACAGAGCTTACAGTCTGGGGAGTAGTAGATAAACAGCTAAACATGTCTAAGTCATAATTTCAGAGAGTGGTGCGTCCTGGGAGGGAAAGAAAATCCAGGGTAATGGCATCAGATGAGATCCAGGAGGAGGATGATCATAGACTCAATAGAAGGAAAATGCTTCCTCAGAGAAGTGACATTTATGTGTAGGTCTGAATGACAAGGGGGGACCCAGCCACAGGAATATATAGGAGGCGATAGGGTTCAGGGTTGGATAAAGCACGTGCAAAGGTCCTGAGGTGAGCATGATCTTGGCATGTTTGAGGAACAGCGAGAAGGCCGATGAGGTGAAGTGCTGTAATGAAGAAGAGCAATGAACCAAGAGAGGGTGGAGAAGTGGGCAGGGTTGGCATCAGGTGTGGCCTTGTGTGGCAAGGGGAGGGGGTTTTCTTCCTATCGAAAATGGAAAGCCATTGGGGGCAGGGTTTACGCAGGAGAGAGACATGCTGTGCAATACATAAAGAGATCCATTTGGCAGCTCTGACTACTCTACTAAGAGGAAGTTACCTAAAGAAATTGTCGGAAAGTACACGAGCTTGTGCAAAGGTGTTCTTTGCAGCACTGTTTATTACAGTAAAAGAAAAAAGGAAACCACACAGATGTCCATCAACTGGGTAAAGAAATGGCGGTCTGTCCACATAAGGGGACAGTGTGTGGTCACTGAAACAGATGGTGCGGCTACATCAGACATGACTTGTACAGACATTTACCACCTGCTGTTGACTGAAAAAAACAGTGGGATGATACAGATAATATGATCCCATTTTTATTTTTACTTTTTAATGAAAAATAAGGTGTTTGTGTGTACACAGAAAAAAATCTGGAAGGAAACGTACCAGAATGGGTATAGAGGTTCTTTCTGGGGGTGGGATTTTCAGTGATAGCAATTTCTTAAAATTATTTTCACTATTTCTTGAAGTTTCACTAATCTTATTTTAAAAAGAAAGAAGGAAGGAAGGAAAGAAGGAATGAAGGAAGGGAGGGAGAGAGGGAGGAAGGAAGGAAAAACCAATGCAAAAATTCCCTTGTAGGACTTGGGAAGAACCTGCATGGCCTGAGAAGGTTCTGGGGAGTTCGCCTCAGCTGACCCAGTGAACCAGGCAACACTGATCTGCTTGATGAGCTGTGACAAGTAGGCTCTGAGGAATTATGGTTTTGTAGCCTCAGGTGATGTCACCATCTCAGCCCTGGTTAAAGATTCCCAGCCTTCTGAGGGCCATTCACCCTGCCCTTGGGGCTAAGACTCACACACACACACACACACACACACACACACACACACACACACACACACACACACACACACACACACACACACACACCAGACTGCCTCAATCCTTTAAGATGTCACCTGACCCACACATTCCTTGCAGTAACCCCACGAAATCTCTCAGATTCTTCCCACTTACAGAAAGGAACCAAGGCTCTGAGAGGTGACACAGCTTGCCTCAAATGGGACACCTGTTGCAGGTGCAGCTGGGATGGGGGGGCATCCAGATCTGTCAAGGCTCTGGGACCCCTTTCTAACCATTATCCGAAATGGACACTCTGTGGCCATGCCATCCCTACAGATGGCATTGGCTAGCCCAAGATAGAAGCGGAGGGCTCAGATGCTAGGAGCCCCTCGGCGGGCAGGGGCCTGCAAAGATAAGGCTGTGTCCTGGAGGGTCCCCCCTGCTGGTGAAAATTACTCAGGGAGGAACTGACCGCCATTTGGCACCACACAACAGAGACTGGATTAAAGAGAGAGGACAGCTGGCGTTTTGGAGCAGGGTGACCTGCCCTGGGAGGGACCGAGGAGTTAGTTGCCCATGTCATTGTTGGTACATTTCCCAATCTCCTTGTGAAATAGGTCTTAAAAAATAGTCCTCGCCTAAGAAAAAGTCCTGAACTGATATTCATCCCGACGCCAGCTTCTTCCTGAGACTATTTGGGACAAACCCCAGTCCCAACATCAAAAGCTCTTGCTGACACCTTTTCCCTCTTCTGCTATCCTTCGTGGGCAAGTGTGTGTGAGAGAGAAGGTGCCTGTCCTCTTACGTTGTCCCACTTCTGCATGGTCACCTTTCGAAACTTTTAGGAAGTCCTCTTCTAGAAGAAGGTCATTGCTAAACCAATGCTACTTTGAAGCAGAACCGACTTCTGGCCCCTGTGCTGAAAGCTTTGTTCAGGAGGGTTTGGCTGGTTTGTGGATTGATTGAAGGGTTCCCTAAATTTAGAATGCAGTTTTCTGTGAACGTGTTGCCATATGGTCAGTGCCCACATCTCCCTGGGGACCAACTGTGACCACTCTAGGGTCTCAGCAGATGGGGGCAATGCCACCCTCTGGCCCCAGGTGGGGTCCCACAATTCCTAATGGGACCAGGCACTGAGGAAATTTCTCAGCCCCAGGCTCTATGTAGAGGGTTGCTGAGGTCCCATCAAAACAAGGGGAGGGGGGACGAGTCATGGCCATGCCAGAGATGTCCGCATATCTGCTGAAGCCATGTCACCAGGAGGTGCTTCTGGACAGTGAGACGGGGCCCTGCTGATGTGCTCAGCTCCCTGCAACGCCCTCTCTCACAGTGACCGCCTATGCTCTGCCACTAAAGTCATTGTTTCTGCATGTCTGTCCCTCACTAGACGATTAGTCCCACGAGGGCAGAAGTCAGGCTATGTTCCCTGCTGGGTCCCAGTGCCTCGGACATCGCAAGGGCTCACCAAGTGTAAGATGCCTGATGGGTGAGTGAGTGTCGGAACGTTGGATGCAAGGAGGAAAGACTGAATCACTGTAAGAGGCTTTTCCCCTTGTCCTGGGAGATCATCCACGTAGGCTATTTCTTACATGATGACCCTATGTGAAAAGAGCCATGGTGTCCTGAGATTTGACCTTAGAAGTTATGTCATACCAACAAGGGCCACAGGATTTATCGGACACTTACTATGAGCCACCAGTAAGCAGGTGCACATACTGTTCCATTTCATCCTCATAGCAACCATTTGGCAGAGAAGGGATCAAGGCTTAGGAAGACTGCCTGCCCAAGGACACACAGTACAGCAGGGTCCCAAATGCCATTGGACCCTACATGCCCCCTGGCCTACCCTCTTCCCTCTGTATGTGCAGGGTGGACGCTGTCATTTCGGTGCCATGGATCCCAGCAGGTCCTGGCATGCTGTGAGCACGTAGTAAATGAATGATTCCAATGGCAAAATATCAGAACCATGTACAGCGCTGACTACATGTGCCAGAGACACGGTCACCTTCCGTCATCCTTACTGGAGCACTTGTCACCCTCCAGTATGCATCAGGGCCCCTGGCGGGCATGTGACACACAGCCTGCTGAGCCCACTCCTGGAGTTTCTGACTGGGCACCTCTGAGGTGGGCCCGAGCAGCTGCTTTGCTAGTAAACTCCTGGGTGATTTGGGTGCTGCTGGCCTAGGAGCCCCCTTTGAGACCTCCCCCCTCCACACACACACAAACCTTACCACCACTTGGGGTAAGAACTAGCTGCTGAATAGTACGGGGGACGTCAGCCACTCTGGGCCTGGGGAAGCTGCCTGGAAGATACTGTAATGACAGTGGCAATGCAGGTGGGGGCCTTGGAAAGAGCGAAAGAACAATGGGCCTCCCTGGAGTGGAGGGTGTGACAGTGGGAAAGAAGCCAGTTCGTGGGACCCCTTCTTTTTCCTCTGCCCTCCCCAGATACCCACTTGTGGGGGCCACACAATAAGCCCTTGTTTCAGCCCTGGGGAGCTGCCGTGATGTCCTCAAGGGTAAATACAGGCAGAGAACAAAGGCCAACCTACCCCCGTCTGTCTCAGAATGACTGTCTCTCTTAAAGGGCATAAAAAGCACAATAGATTGGTGTCCTGGGCTTTCTTTCGAGCCTGGCCAGGAAATTCCACCTCATCAGCTGCTTCATTTCCCTCCCATTAAATCAGTGGAATTTCCCTTCATTAAGTCTTTCCCAAACAAAGGTTGCAAACGTTGAGGGAGAAACTGCAGAAGCTGTTAACTCTAGCTCTTTGGGGCTGGTGGCGGTCACTGTGCGGAAGTCCCCGGGAAGAAATGCCTGCGACTCCGGTCATTTGATTCCGCAGTGTCCTCATGTACAGCACCATCTTGAGGCTCGAAAGCACCCCAGGAAGATGGGAGGGTGGGGACAGGTGCCAAGCTCCATGGAACCATGAAGGCTCACACTTCAAGCGGCCCTAGCACATTCTGTGTTCTTGATTTCATAATCCTTCTCTAAAGAGGGCCACTCAACTAAGTCTTCAGCATGCCCCCCTGTTATGGGCTGAATTGTGTGCCTCCCCCCTCAACCCCGCCACCCAAATTCACATATCAAAGTCCTAACTCTCAGTAGCCTCATGTGAGTGTACTTGGAGTTCGGGCCTCTGAAGAGGTAATTAAATTAAAATGAGGTCCTTAGGGTGAGCCCTGATCCAATAATGGCTCGTATCCTTATAAGGAGAGCGGGGCATCATCTCAATGAACCCTCCCAACAACCCTATGAAGTAGAGACTACTGTTATCCCCATATCACAGGTCACAAAACAGGCTCAGAGAAATCTGGTAGCTTGTTCCAGGTCACAAAGCTGGTAAGAAGCAGGCCCTCGGTCTGTGGAACTCTTATTTATGTGACAATATGTAACTATATTATTATGTAGCCATATGTAACTATAACTTGATTTCATTGTTTTGTGGGGGCAAAATGCATGCCCACACATAGAAAAGGGACCAGATGGGTATGCACCAAAAATCTAACAGTAACTCCCCCAGTTGACAGGCTATGGACAATTGTTTCTCTATGGGCTCATCTGATGTTTCTAAATTTTCTACAAAATCATGCATTGGTAATAGAAAGTAAAAAGAAAGAAAGAGACGAGAAGAGAACAGGCTTGTCCTGGGTGTTCTGGTTAAGAATTAATGCAAGTCTGCTCAAGTTTAATTTTAAAGGGCAATGTTTGGGGCCCTTCTGCCAGGCCCTCCAAGGGTCACCCCTGCTGACCTTGGATGTTGAGAATCAGAGAATACAGCCCTACCTTTCAGATTGGACCCCGTTCCTGAGCGAGCCCACGTACGTCTTCTTTTTATCGACAGGCATCACATCCACGTAGCCTCCACTCTCATTCCCGATGACTCCTGCGTGCACAGCAGTCTTACAGATGCTCGAAGTCTGAAAATGCAGGAAGTGTAGTGATCAAGGTCAAGGAAGTCGGATTCCTGGGCGAAGCCCTGCTGGGGGCCAACCATTACTTGGCGGCCTGGTTGGTGAGGTTTTGGCCAAGTCAACCCTGAGGAAATGACCATCAGCACTTTGATTCCTCAGTGGTCTCTCCGGAGAGACCTGGCATCATTCATTCATTCATTCGTTCATTCGTTTGAAAAATATTTTCCAAGCACCTACTATGTGCCAGGCATTGTCCTAGATGCAGGGGGATTCCAAAAATAATAAAGACTCTGCCTTCATAGAGTGGAGGGAGACAGACAAGTAAACAAATATACAAACAAATAACTCAAGGTATGAAGAAAACAAAACTAGATCATGAGATAAAATGGGTGGAGGGAGAAATTCTCAAACAGCTAATCAGGGAAGACTGCTCTTGATGTGACACTTGAGCTTAGATCTGAGTGACAACAAGGAACTGGCCACAGCCATGGGAATATCTCTGGGCACACTATCCCGGGCACACGGAGCAGCTCGTGCAAAGGCCCTGAAGTCCTGTCTAAGCAACAGACAGAGGGCTCAAGTGGCTGGAATAGAGGGAGTCAGGCAAAATGTGGCAGGAGAGGTGGGAGAGGTGAGTAGGGGACAATCACGTGGGGCTGTGAAGATCACAGTGGGAGTCTGGGCTTATTCTAGGTGCCGAGGGAACCACTGGGTTTCAAGCAGGGGTAGGGTATGCTGTTTGCTAAAGTCATCACACAGTCCAATTGCTGCGTAATAAAACCCTCAAGTTAAAACTTTCATTAGGGCCTTAACTTATCCAATAGGAAAATGGTCCTCAGATCGGGTTATCTGAGCGTAACGAATCAACGTTCCTCAAAGCTAAGGAAATTCATGCAGGATGGAGCAGCTGGTACCTGTTAAAGATGCAGGCTCCTGGGGCTCACCCTGACCTACAGACTCAGAATCTCCCCAGACCAAGGCCGCGTGGTTCTGATGCACAGTCAAGGCCAAGAACCAGGTAGGTAACACCCTCCTGCCTCTTCTATGATCCTTTCGTCCGACCTGTGCTAAAAGCTGACACTGGCCTTGGCAGTGGGTTTCAATCTTCACAGCATCTCAGAGCTACATGCAGTATCTTTACACGATGACAGTGTCCAGATCCCCCGACCCCTCCCACCCCCACTGGATTCAGTTGCTCTGGGGTGAAGCCCGAGACTCAGGGATTGTCAGGTGCAGCCAGGGCTGCATAGATGGGCTGAGCTACCCCATTTGTGGAGTGAACCACCTCCTCCATGGAAAGGCGAGCTAACACTGACACGGAGCGTGTTAAATACCAGGCCCTGGGCTGACGGCCTTTTGCTTGTCGTCTCATTGAATCTTCCAGTGAGATGGGGAACGACTGCTATTCCCATTGTACAGGTCAGGAAGCATGGGGTTAGCATGATTCAACAATTTTGCCAAAGCCATAAACACAGTTAATGGCTTAGCAGAGATTCTAACTGAGGTCTGGCTAAGTGTAAAGTCTATGTTTCTATGGTCAGCAGAATAATGGCCCCAAAGATGTCCACGTCCTCACCCCGAGAACCTGTACTATGTGACCTCACATGGTGAAAGGACGTTGCAGTTGTGATGAAGTTGAGGAGACCTTCGGATGGGGAGAGTATCCTGGGTCTGCCAGGTGGCCCCAGCGGAATCACAAGGGCCCTTATAAGAAGGCGGCCGGAGGGTCAGAGGCAGACAGAAGCAGCGTGAGAAAGACTCGCGTGCCGGCGCTGGCTTTGCAGATGGCAGAAGGGGCCACAGGTCAAGGAATGGGGGAAGCTCTAGGAGCCGGAAATGACAAGAAAATGGACTATCCTTTGGCACCTCCAGAAGGAAGCACTGCTGACCCCTTGATACTAGACCGGTGAGACCTGTGTTGGACTTCTGACCTCCAGAACCATCAGAGAATAAACATGTGTTGTTCAGGCCACTAAGTGTGTGGTCGTCTATTTCAGCAGCAATAAGAAACGGATACAGCTGCTAACCACTGTCTTCTAACGAAAACATCCCATTTATTAGATCCCTGAAGTTTGACGACTTCCAATGACAGGTTTCCCCCACTCTCTGAAAGTAGAGAGTGTT